TCCCAAAATAATACCTAACCAGAAAATAAGCCCTAGCATCATTTTAGTGATGCTTGTAATATAAGCCCTACCCTAAAAATAAGCCCCAGTTAAGATTCTCAGCCACACGGATACATTTACTATGTCCATTGCAACAAAAAAATAAGACATCACCTGAAAATAAGCCCTAATGAGTCTTTTGGAACAAAAATTAATATAAGACCCAGTCTTTGGGGAAATATGGTATATACTATCATGGGTGCCTTGAAATTTGTGTTGTCTTTGTATGGCAAACTTGTGGCATACATTTTCATGCATCATAGATTATGATTCATGAAAGCTTCTACAAAAATAATTGTGCTAGTCATGCAAGAGCAATAAGTTATTTGTTGTTTGTGCTGTGAGACTAACAAGACAAGTTCTCTAGGGAATCGCAATTTCCACATTCCTGTAATACAACTTTCCCCAACTGAGTATCCTATAAATGTGATGTACTACAACTACCATTATCCATCCACATATCCCTGTGTCAACTCGCACATCTGTCGAAACCCTGACACCCTGGTTATTTTAAGAAGATGGTTACAGAGCCAATGCCTTTGGAGACAGAAAATTGGAAAAAGCTCATCTAATACCTTGATTACTCTAAAATGTCATAAATCAAAAGACAGGTAGTGTTTTCCAGGTACAAATTTTATTAAAAGGTGTTAGTTTTCATTCAATAAAATTAACTATAGCAATGAAAGTTTATTCCTTTTAATAAAATTTGTTAGTCTGAAAAAGTGCTACCACAGATTAACATACCTCTTCTCCTGTAACTGAAATATTGTTACTTTAAAAATGGATACTTTCCATAAGTTTGAGAATCCAGCTATCTAAATCAGACCTTTACAAATGCTGCATTTTTTAAAAAAATCATTCTCATACTTGTGTGTATGTGGATAAACAGTGAAGATCTTTGATGCTTCAGTGTTCTGTTTTGGACCAAGTCTACTAAGTTGTATGGCATCACAATATTCTAGAGCCTTGAGAAACAGCATATGTTTAACATATAACCATCTCTGTGGATTGCTTCTTCTGAGCAATTACATTACTGATACAAGACACCATGCAACAGTAGCTACACTTTTATCAAGATTTCATTACACCCAAAGAAGACTAGCTACACTTTTATCAAGATTTCATTACACCCAAAGAAGAATGTACAAGTCAAGTTGATTCATGGAATGTGAACATTTCCTGTTACCCATGCAACATCTTCCAACACAATCATCCCAAAACCAGTTGAGGTTATCTCAAAGATCAATTTGGATCTCAACTGAAGCTAATATAATATTGTTTTCTAAACTGTTTATTTGGATTGAACAAGAAAACACCAAAACATCCATCCACTCTAAATCAGATCGATTACACCCCAAGGTTCTGAAAATATATCTGATCATGGAGCACAGGGGAACTACCAGAGGACTGGAAAAAGATTGATATAGTTCCTATCTTCAAAAAAGGGAAAAAATAGATCAAGGAAACTAAAGAAACTAAAGATCTATCAGCCTGACATCAACACCTGGGAAGATTCTGAAAGAAAGTTAAGCAATGAATCTGCAAACACCTAGAGGCAAACAAAGTCATAACTAGAAGCCAACATGGGTTTGTCAAAAACAGATCATGCCAGACAAATCTTTTGACAAAATTAACAGACAAGTGAAATGCTGTGTATATAATTTACTTGAACTTCAATAAGGCAATTGATTAGATCACAACCTACTACGCAATAACATAGAAAAATGTGAGTTAGACAGCATCACCACCAGGTGGATTCGTAACTGGCTGACCAATGTACTCAATATGTAGTCCTCAATGGAACTGCATTTACATGGAAGTATGCAGTGGGGTACCCCAAGGCTCTGTCTTAGGCCGAGTTCTCTTCAATATCTTCATTAATGATTTAGAAGGGGAACTCATCAAATCTGCAGGCAATACAAAGCTGGCAAGAATAGCCAGCACTCCAGAAGATAGGATCAAGATGCAGAAGAATCTTGACAGATTGGAACACTGGATCCTATCTAACAAAATGAAATTCAATGGTGAGAAAAGTATGGTTCTACATTTAAGCAAGAAAAACCAATGCACAGTTACATAATAAGTGGTATCTGGCTAAATAATAGTAACTATGAGAGGGAACTTGGAGTCCTAGTGGACAATCACTTAAATATGAGCCAGCAGTGTGCTGCAGCTGCCAAAAAAAAAAAAAGCCAATACAATCAGAGGGATGGAATCAAGATAATGTGAAGTGATAGTACTACTTTATAATGCTTTAGTAAAACCACACTTAGAATAATGCATCCAGCTTTGGTCACCAAAATATGAAAAAGATGTTGGGACTCTAGAGGGAGTGCAAAGAAGAGCAACAAAGATGATTAGGGGTCTGGAGACTAAAACATATGACCAACAATTTCAGGAAACGGGTACGTTTAGTTTAATGAAAAGAATGACACGATAGCAGTGTTCCAATATCTAAGAGGCTGCCACAAAAAAGAAAGGATCAACTTATTCTCCAAAGCTCCTGAAGGCAGGACAAGAAGCTATGGATAGAATCTAATCAAAGAGAGAAGCAACCTAGAACTGAGGAGAAATTTTCTGACAGTTAGAACAATTAATCAGTGGAACAATTTGGCTCCAGAAGTTGTGAATGCTCCAACACTGGAGATTTTTAAAAAGATGGACAACCATTTGTCTGAAATGGTGTAGGGTTTCCTGCTTGAACAAGGGTTGGACTGAAAGACCTCCAAGGTCCCTTTCATCTGTTATTCTGTTATATTCTAAGCAACAGCACAGTTTAGGAAAATGCTGAAATTTAAGCAATTTCCTCTTGTTCCTTATTTATGTCAGATAGAAAAAAGGGAAGAAAAGACTTGTGTTACTTCACAAGTCTGACAGCAACCTACAAATCAAATTACACCACGTGCTATTTAATACATATCTGTTTCCAATGTATAGTATTCAATTGCAAAAAAAAAAACAAAAAACAGCTCTGCACTACAAAGTGGTGATCACATCCCAGAAAAAAAAACCAATACAAATCACTTTATATTGATCTAAGAAACTAAGAAGGCCAGAGGTAGGAGGTGAGCATATCTCTCCCAGCGTGATATTTTCTATGTATTTTGGATATGAATGTCCACCATCCACAATTAGTCAATGTGCCTAAAGCTGACAGGAGATATATTATAATTAAGGCAGAGCAATCATGCAGCAATAATATTTAATTGATAACCTCAGGTTACTTTGAGGCCCTGAAGACTAAGCCATTCGACCTGGGTTTCAGGGTTTTGTTTTGTTTTGTTGAGGAGTGAGAATTTTAAGTGGCAAAATGAAGAAGCACTGCAAAAGGAAAGGAGCAAAATTTGCTGCTTAAAATCCAAAGTCCCCTAAAATTTTGGCCTATGAAAACAAAGGAAAGTGAAGTTATATAAATTAGAAAAACATTTATTTTGTTATATTTATATCCCACACTTCATCCAAAAGCTCTAAATGTCTTACACCAAGCTTTCTCTTCATTTTATCTCCACAATCCTGCAAATCAGATTTTATCTCCACAGTCTTGTGGGATTGGTTGGGCTGCAAGACTATGATTAGCTCAGAGTCACCCAATACGTTTCCATGGCTTAGGATGGACTCTGAACCTCAGTTTCCCTGGTCCTTAACTATAACAATTTGTTTCATCTATGCATATTGGGAGTGGGAGGGGTGTTTAATGACAGGTTTATATTGGAAATAAGATGCAACATGGGAAACACTGATTTTGAAAACAATGAGAGCAGCTATATGATACAACTCTTTATAGGGACAATTCCAAGCCCTGTGGCAGTAATGCTGGAAAATGCAAATCTCCTGAGAAGAGAAACCTTTGAAGTGCAGAAGAAAAGAAATGAACAAGATAAGATGGGCTTAGAGCCATGAAGATTCTGAAATCAAGAAAGAGCATATGCTGGATGCAGAAGCAGATAAGAAAGCAGTTGAGGGATTGAAGAAAACTATCATGTGGTCACCGTTATTTTTACAATCATAACATATGACACAATTTAACTACAATCCTTTCAAAAGGTATTTTTTTCACTGTACTAGGAAGCATCATGCAAATGAACAGGGTGCAAAAATAAAAGTCTCAACTCGATTACCAGCACAGTAAACAGAAGCTAGCCTCAAACGGGATCTCAGGGACCTTCCTGTCGGTTACCAGAGATGACATCAGCTGGAAGGCAGTGCATACCAACCCTCCCCAGCCTGGTGTTCTCCAGCTACCACAAGCTTTCCCAGCCAGCTTGGCTGTTGGATAGACCCAGCCCATTTGGAGAACAATGTAGGGCTGGAAGTATAAATAAATATATTTGCAGCCCTGTTTGTACACAAAAGCATCACGTTTTTCAACATTTTAGCTTTCATAAAAAATAATCTTTAATCACCACGTAGCCTGAGTCACAGCTCGTGCCTTTGCCTTGCTGGGCTTTGCTATTTACCCACTCTCACAATCAAGAAGTGTGTTTTGTTTTCTAAGGAGAAAGAGAAACATTTCCAAGAGACTAAACTTCCTCAGCCTGATAAACCTTCCTGGGGAGTTTAAAACTACAACTCTCACCCGTCTGCAAAGGCATGGCTGCAGCAGCTGGACTATATAACTCAACACACCTGGAAAGCAACAGATTGGAGAAAAGTAGCTGGGGCTGCGGAAAAAGCCAAGCCAAACCTGAAGGAAGAGTCACATCCTCCTCCTTCGAAATATGTTTACTCTGAAATACGTTCTCCCGAGTTCAGCAAGACTTTAACACTAGCCCATGGCTTCTATCCCATCCAGCTTCCCACATCTTCCTCCACACTCCATTCCTTAGATACCCAACCACCACCACCACCAACCATCACCCCCCAAACGCGCAGCTTCCTTCTAAAAGCAGCAACCAAAAAGGAGGCTTTCTTCTCACTTCTCTACCATTCCCTGACCGGCTTTCTATTCTCCCTCCTCTTACATTTCACCACCGACAACGCTCCACTCCCGACCTCCGCGACACGGCAGCGCCTCCTCCTCCTCCTCCCGCGAAGGATACGTTCCAACTGCCTCGGCGAGAATGGATTGAGTGGGCGGGGCCAGAGGAAGGAACCACCCCTAGGCCTGCTGGCCGACAGCCGCCCAGCCTTTGGCTGCTGCCTCGCTTGCTTTGGCAACCAGGAGGCGGGGCCAAGTGGGGTGGAGCTAAAGAGCAAAAGCTGCCTTGGGATTTGTCGCTTTTTGATCTGTGGTTGAGGTTTTGCAAAGGAGGGTGGAGAAGCTGAACGGCTCACGCCATAGAGATTAAGGCTAGAGAGGCCGCCTGGGAGGTGGAGATGGTCGTTCACCTCAGCGTGGAGGAAGATGTTGACAAACAAACATTCAGTGCCATACTGAATTCCAATATCGCTGTGAGGGATAAAACAAGAAAACCCCATTGTGTTCTAAATTATTGAACATTGAAAAATGATGGACGTGGCTGTGGACATTCCTGTATATTTGAAATGCCAGAGATAGCTGAATTGCAAGGCGGGTTGTAGATACAGTGACCATATTTTCTTGGAAAAAATAAAGGACAACTCTGGAAAAGGATGAGAGAAAACTATAAGTTACTCTTTTATAATGAAAATTATATAGCAAGATTAGAAAACTCCTTGGTTCATTCTGTATATGAAATAGACCAGAAGATTCCTTTCTTTCTTTCCTTTTTGATGTACCCTTGCCAGTTTTCTCTGTCCCCCTCTTGTTGTTTCTGCCGAAAGAAGTTATATCTTGGCCTGGTCATTCACATATAGAGGATACATTCCACAAAGACATGAT